AATCCCCGGTCCCCACTTTCCAACTCTGGAATTACAGGTGGGTTGCCATACACTCATGGGTTCTGGGGATCTGAACCCCAGTCATCACACTTGTGCAGCAAATGCTTTAACTAGGGAATGATCTCCTCAGCCCTTCCCAGGCCATTTTGATGTTGTATTTAAGGACTGAGACTTGGGCAGACCTCTGATCTAGGTTATCCACTTCTGTACAAATGGGAGAATTCAGGGTCTGGGCTGATAGGACTCATTCTCGGTTTTCTGCCTTCCACCACCTTGCACATTTTAATGACTGACTACTGTCTCCCTCTTCAGGTGTTTTCCCTAGTGTTAGCTTGAGGTATCATTCTTTATATTGGACAGGGGCCATCCTTATGTAATCTTTGATTTAATTCATTTCATCTTTACCATCTTGCTTATAAGGATAACTGATGATTTTTTTTTTTTTGTCTTTTTGTCTCCCTATAGCCTCAGCTGGCCTGGAGCTTGCTATGTAGACCAGGCTGACCTCAAATTCAAAGAGATCTGCCTGCCTCTGCCTGAGTGCTGGGATTAAAGGTGTGTGCCACCGCGCCCGGCTTGAACTCCTGATGCTCTTACCTCCAACTCTCAAATGCTGAGATTACAAGCGTGTACCATCATACCTGGCTACTTTCTGTTGCTTTGTTTAGTTTTGGTACAGGGTCTCTCTATATTGCCCAGACTAGTCTGGATCTTGTGATCCTCTTGCATCAGCCTTCAGAGTACTGGATTTGAAGGCAAGTGCTGTCATACCTATAATCTAGTTTAGATCAGGACTCTGGTTGACTGAAAGTTCTTAGGAAAAGAACTTTTCTTAGGTGTCATCTGTCTCTAAAAAGGGAAGTTGCCATTCTTCCTTTAGTGTGGACCCAGTGAGGAAAAAGAACCCAGTGGAGAACTGTCCTGGTGTTTCAGTTTAGGTGGGATTAGCTATTGACTCTGAATTGAAAGAGATCCATAAGGTCCGTTTAGGGTCCTTGTTTAGAAATACATTCCTTCAAATGAACCGTTCCTTGGGAACCTGATTTGGCTGGATAAAGCAGAGCTCTGATTGCCTTGGATCCTCTTTCCAGTGTGCGTTGGCCAGGAGGCAGCCCTGTGAGTTGTATGTCTTGTACAGGCCTTGCTTTAATCCCATTTGAAAACCATTATGTTCTTCCTCTCTCCCTTCCATGGTCATCATTCACTAAACAGAACTGATTCACACCCTCCAATCTGTCATCTCGCCTTTTGCACAGCCACCACCCTATTCCAAATCCCCACTCACTTCTAACCAGCGTTTCCCCTTCTAGGTGAGTTTGCTCTGCCTTCCCACTCTATAGCCAGATACATTTTATTTACAAATGTGATATTTATTATGCTCCCTCCCCTCTAACATAAACATGTCATTGCATTTTGGGTTAAGGTGAAGCTTAAATGTGATCTTCAGTGCCTCTTGAGGTACAGCCAGAAGTTTTGGGTTTCTGAGCTGAGCTTCCTTATGCTTCTGGGTTTTTAAAGGCCCTGGAGTTCTTTCTCACTGCCTGATCCCCCTCCACTCCCTCCTGCCTGGGGTTAATTTCTGCATCTCCATCCTTGAAAGCTACTTCCAACATCTCTAAGTTTCCTAATCTAGGAAGCACTTGTTAAGCTCCCCTCACAGACCTAGTAGTTCCCCTCTGATTCTAATTGAGTAATTACTGATGGAATCATTCTGTCTCTTCCACTTAAGAATAGCAGCTTCATGGAGGCCAGAATAGTGCCTTGCACATAGACAGCAGGTCTTCAATAAACATTTATCCAATGGATTCGTAGTGTCTAGTTTTTGTCCAAATCTCATATCTAGTGTTTTAGCCAGTTACAACCAAGAAGGCATCTGTCCTTTATTCTGTTTGTAAGAGACAGAATTGTTATTTGTCTCATGAGGTAGTTTATGGTCCAATAGTAGTCTCTTAAAGAGTAGTAAATCAGTCAGGCATGGTAGTGACACATCTGCCATCCCACCCCTCCAGTGGCTAAGACAGGAGGATTGCAAGTTTGACATCAGCCTGGGCTGCATATTGAGACTTTGTATCCACAGAACACAGCACAACAAAGATAAAAAGACATTCTAGCTTGGTGGCTTCTACCCATCATCCCAGCAAATGAGGTGGCTGAGGCAGGAGGATTGACAGAAATTTGAGACCAGTTACATAGTGAACTTCAGAACAACTTGGCCTACAAAGTGCAACCCTGTCTCAAAGAATGAAACAAGGGATGGGAGAGATGTTCAGAGGTTAAGAGCACTGGCTGCCTGCTTTTGCAGAGGACTGGGATTCAGTTCCCAGCACCCACATGGTGGCTAACAACCATCAGTAACTCCATTTCCAAGGGATCCTACACCCTCTTCTGGCCTCCTTGGGCATTGCATGCATGTGGTGCACTAGCATACATGCAGGCAAAACACTCATTCCCATAAAAATCAAAATAAAAAAATCAAAATAAAAGCAAAGCAAAACAAAACAAAACAAAAATCTTCAAAACAAACTAATCCATTATTCACCCCAAAGAATTAAGAAGTTCATGTACAGTAAATGTGGGAGAATACATAGGTGCTGTGGGTTGGGAGGTGGGTTTTGTATACTGCTAGATGACCTCTGGCAGTTCAATCACCAGGGCACAGGTGCTATACTGACTGTACCCTATCTGAGACTCAGACATGCACACCCTGGGGAGATATATAAAGCTGTAGGAAACCCAGTTCCAACACCAGGTCCAAACTTTCTCTCTTGGCTCTGATCTGCAGCGCCTCCCTCCTGGGTGTGCATATGACTGACTCAGTGGCACAGGCAGGAATTCAAACCACTCACATAACACACCAGAGTGACGTGGGTCCCTGATCACCACTCAGACTTAGTTCTCTGCTTTCATTTATGGAAACCTGCCCTCTAGGTTGCTTGTACATCTTTCCAACTTCCAGGATATTGCAGCTGGCTAAAACTACTTTGGGGTGTAGACACCAGGTAATAACTCTACGAATTACAATCTTTTAGACCTCTCAGGTCGTGTTTTCAGTCTTGGGGAGATTGTGTCTAATCGTGTGCTTGGTGTTCTTGCCAAGCGGAACTCAGGTTCCATTGGGCAGATGGTTTCCTCTACCCAGCCCTTCTGCTGTGCTCTGGAGAGGGTGGCTGGGACTGGTTTTGCAAGTAGGAGCAAGAAAAGAAACCAAAAAGCCAAAAAACTGAAAGGGAAGACGTAGAATTTATCACCAAGTAACAGGCTCTTTTCTTTCTTGAAATCCAAGATAAAATTAAGCTACTTAACAAGAAAGATAAACCACTATCTATACCTCCCATTTGGTCTCAGATTAAAGAAAAACTGACTGTATTATAAACCCAAAATATGTTATTATTACCTAGCTAGGTAAGAAACTTCAGAAAGTATTTTGGGCTCAGATGGTTAAATTTGGGGGTTGGAAAGAAATTGAATCTTGGGGTAAATTTCAAGGTTTTAGGAAGAAAGGAACTCTGACCACTTTGCAAAAATTCTTGCTTTATTCTTTTAGCTATTGGTGTCATAGTAAATCGAGAAGGAATTTGCCCTGTAGCTGGTAGCTCAAGGCACTCATTCTTTTCTTATAAACTTCCTCTGTTGGAACCGTTCATATCTTGGTTCCCTTTTCCCCTCTCTTCCACATTTATCAAGATCTCGGGGTTGCTGGTCCTCCAAGCTTTTATATTAGGAGCTAGTATAAAACCCTGGTCTGCTGAGTTAAGTTTCTGTTCAATGAGCCAAACTGAAATGGCCGCTGAACTGTTCCTGCTGGGCTAGCTCTGTGCAAGGGTCACTTGGTGGGTTGTTGTGGGAACATGCCCCTCACAGCTGTGGCTTTTCAGAGACCGGACAAACAAGTTTTGAAGCTGAAAGCATCCACTATTGTTTAAAGCACATTACCAGGAATGCCAAGGGTATGCCTCTTTAGGGTGGGGGGTGGGGGTGGCGGATAGTAGAGTGGAGTGGTTGGGGCTTATCTTCAGAAACACTGGTGCTATAGATGTGACATCTTCTATAGAAATGACATCTTCAGTACATACCTCTCAATTCTCAGTTGCTCTGTTTTGTTATCAAGAAATGATGGCTCAGTGAGTAAAGACGCTTGCCACCAAGCCTGACTATCTGAGTTCGATCCCTGGAACTCACAGGATGAGAGAACTGACTCTTGCAAGTTTACCTCTGACTTCCATGTGTAGACTGTAGCATGAGCATGGCTCCCATCCCCAGGAACACAAAGTAAATAAATGCAATAAAATAAAAGAAAGAAATAGCACCTGTGTGTCTAGTTTGGTGAAGGGAAGACCACTATTCAGCAAGCTATTTTTTTCCAAGATTAGAATTTTGTCTCTATAGCATTTATTTATTTATTCATTTTGCAGTGCTGGGGACTGAACAGAAGGCCTTGCCCATGCTAAACAAATTCTCTACTCCCAAACTACATCTCTGTTCCTCTAAACCATTGTTTGTTTGTGGTCCTAGAGACCAAATCCAGAGCCACTCACGTGCTAGGCTTGTGCTGTACCACTGAGCTACACCTTCAGGCCATTTTGTTTTGTTTTGGAACAAAGTGTCATACAACCTAGGTTGGCTTCAAATTTTTAATCCTGCTATCTCAGTCTCCTGAGTGCTGGGATTACAGGAGTGTGCCACCATGCCTGGTTTAGCACTTTGAATTCTACCTAGAATTCAAGGGCTTTCATTTTTTGTAATCAATTTGCAGGGCACTGCCAGCTTTGTTTTAGAGGAGAACAGGAAGATAAGGCAAAGGCCAGACAACTAAACCAAAGCTTCACAGCCAGTAGGTGAGGCGACAAGGGAGACCCAGGTCTTGGTTCCCTCATTCTACTGTGTGGTGACACTAGGGTCAGGCTGTTGTATCAGCCAGATATTTAACAGCTGTGCCAGTGGTGGTGTTGGGATGGCCAGTCTTTCTCCTCCATTCCTAACACCTCTTCTATTTCTTTCAGCTTGGATTCCTCAGCATCACCACAGCTCAGCCAGAACAAAAGGCTCCGAGTCTCACTGGCACATACCGCCATGTTGACCATGCCACTGGCCAGGTGCTAACCTGTGACAAGTGTCCGGCAGGAACATATGTCTCCGAGCATTGTACCAACACAAGCCTGCGTGTTTGCAGCAGTTGTCCTGCGGGGACCTTCACCAGGCATGAGAATGGCATAGAGAGATGCCATGACTGTAGCCAGCCATGCCCATGGCCAATGGTTGAGCGATTACCCTGTGCTGCCTTGACTGACCGAGAATGCACTTGCCCACCCGGAATGTTCCAGTCTAATGGTACCTGCGTCCCCCACACAGTATGTCCTGTGGGCTGGGGTGTGCGGAAGAAAGGGACGGAGAACGAGGACGTTCGGTGTAAGCAGTGCGCTCGGGGTACTTTCTCTGATGTGCCTTCAAGTGTGATGAGATGCAAAGCATACACAGACTGTCTGAGTCAGAACCTGGTGGTGATCAAGCCCGGGACCAGGGAGACAGACAATGTCTGTGGCACACGCCTGTCCTCCAGCACGACCCCGCCTTCCCCTGGCACAGCTATCTTTTCTCACCCTGAGCACATGGATTCCCTCGAAGTCCCTTCCTCCACCTATGTGCCCCAAGGTAACTTAACCTCATGAATTATTTCCTGGAGGAAGACTTTGAGCCCGGTAGAGTGGGCTTGTAAACAAGGATGTTTTCTCCATTTCGTTATTCCAAAGGCATTCCTTGGAGAAGGAAACCTTCATTTTTACAGCTAATTAAATTTGGCTTCTTTGAACTTAATAGAAACATTTAAGCTTAAAAGGTTTCTATTAGGAGACAGCAGCTACCTAAAAACTAGGTTACATCAAACTGGCAAATAAGAACCTGAGAAATAAGGACAGTGTGTGACCTCGTGTGTCACTTAGCCTCTTCAGGTCTCGGTTTCAAACTTGCCAAGTAAGTGAGCGATTTTAAATGCTGAAGGTTTCTTTTCGATTGAGCAAGTTTCCCAGCAAGGTGTCCATTCTGGGTAGATACAGCCAGAAGGAAAGACAGGAAGGAAGATCGTGCTCTAGACCAGGAAGGGAGGGATCCTGAATCCAAAGTAGGAAGGAAAGTTCGAATCTGATTGCGGCAAACTATCACTCACATATGGAAAATATAATTTCATGTTTTTCCAGTGGTCTTATCTTCAGCCGCATTTATCGGTTCCTCCGTTTGTCTAGGATTCTATTTGACACTCAGGCAGAATTTCAAACAGCTCTTTTCAAGTCCTTTTTCATCGCGTTCAGTTTTCATGAGCCAATAACTGACTTCACTTGTGCTTCCTAGCACACTGTTATGTGTGATAATGTCTGGCCTTTATGATAATTTCAAACAGCTCTTTTCAAGTCCTTTTTCATCGCGTTCAGTTTTCATGAGCTGATAACTGACTTCACTTCTGTAGGGAAAGCTTTTTCACACCCTCCATTTTTAAATGAAGAGCTCTACTGGTTTTCCCAGAGGTTGACACAGGCCAGCTTCTGCTCCCAGGGGCTCACGTCCCTCTCACCCTCCTTCATGAAGACTTAGGTGTAGAAACTTCTCTGAAAGAAATCCACAGAGCTGCCGGCTCCTGTCCTTTGTAAGCTATCGGTAAGGGCTGTGAGGACAGTCCTGCCTTGTTTTAGCCACCAGACCTTTTACTTGATAGAGTAGATTCAATTCTGAGCCCTTTTCTTTATCTTAGTCACATGCTGTTTCACCACTGCATCATGAAATAGTCTAAAGGTGAGAGAGGACGAGAACGAACAGAGGAATTTAATTGGAACCAGTTCTTGGCACAATCAAAACAGAGAAGGATTGACTAGTGGTGAATACACATCTGCTTAGTACTTGAAGTATAGAAGTTGTTTGGAGCTCAGATGTTGGCTCCCCAAGGATGCCCTTGTTTAGGAAACTGAGTTTAGCTCTTTAGATTTTTCCTTTCTATATAAAGATGCTGTTAGAGCCTTTATGAAAATGTGCAGTATAATTTACTCTGAAGCTTCAACCGTCATCTCCTTTTAATTATCTGGCTTAGTCTGGAGATGACCAGGGAGAGGAGAGAATATAGAGATCCCCAAATATGGAAAAGCTCTTCCCCCCTCCTTACTCTTTTTTCTAGGCATGAACTCAACAGAATCCAACTCTTCTGCCTCTGTTAGACCAAAGGTACCAAGTGGCATCCAAGAAGGGACAGTCCCCGACAACACAAGCTCAGCAAGCGGGGAGGAAGGTGTGAATAAAACCCTCCCAAGCCTCCAGGTAGCCACCCACCAGCAAGGCCCTCACCACAGACACATCCTGAAGCTGCTGCCGTCATCGGCCATGGAGGCCACCGGGAGCGAGAAGTCCAGCACGGCCATCAAGACCCCCAAGAGGGGCCATCCCAGGCCCAACCTGCACAAGCATTTTGACATCAACGAACATCTGCCCTGGATGATTGTGCTTTTCCTGCTGCTGGTACTTGTGGTGATCGTGGTGTGTAGCATCAGGAAAAGCTCCAGGACTCTCAAAAAGGGACCCCGGCAGGATCCCAGTGCTATTGTGGAGAAGGCAGGGCTGAAGAAATCCCTGACTCCAACCCAGAACCGGGAGAAGTGGATCTACTACTGCAACGGCCATGGTGAGCCTCTTCCTTGTTCTCCTGGCTCATGGTGATCCCGGCCTAGTCCCTCTTTTCTACAAGAATGGCAGAGCCATAGTTTGTGGAATCTCTTTTCTTCCCTCGAGTGCTGCTTGCTGTTGTGTGTTCTGGAAAATGATTCTGAACATCTCTTAGAACTAATGCCTCAGAGAGAATCACCTCTCCTTCTTTTTCCCTGCATAGCTCTTTTGAAATGGGAGTTGCAGAGTCAGAGATCTGAGTGAGAGTCACCTTGAGGTACTTAATGTTTAACTTGGACATTTAGCAGATGAAGAATTGAGTTCAGAGAATTTTCACCCAAATAAGAGACTAGATATTCTTATTTAGAACTAGTTTGTTCTAGTACTCAGGACAAATGGCACATGTCTGGACTACTGGAGTGCTCCTTTTTTCTTTAAAATGAATATACATACATATGTCTATGTATGTATGTATGTATGTATGTATGTATGTATTATGTGTGCATGCGTCATGGTATGCATGTAGAGGTCAGAGGACAACTTTCAGAGTTGGTTCTCTTCTTTCCTCCCACCATGGAACCCTGGGATGGTACCTAGGTTGTCAGGCTTGTGCGACAAGTGCTTTTACCCACTGAGCCATCTTGCCAGCCTACCCTTCGTTTTTCTATGCCACACAGCTGAGCAAGAAAGAGAGGCAAACCCTGATTTGTTGTAAGTTTACCTGGTTGTGAATGTTGCTTTTTAGATTGATAATTCTCTTCAATCCTCCCACCATGGAACCCTGGGATGGTACCTAGGTTGTCAGGCTTGTGCGACAAGTGCTTTTACCCACTGAGCCATCTTGCCAGCCTACCCTTCGTTTTTCTATGCCACACAGCTGAGCAAGAAAGAGAGGCAAACCCTGATTTGTTGTAAGTTTACCTGGTTGTGAATGTTGCTTTTTAGATTGATAATTCTCTTCAATACATACACCTTTCCGTGTGTGTGTGTGTGTGTGTGTGTGTGTGTGTGTGTGTATGTGTGTGTGTATTTTTGGTTAGGAGGGTAGAAAGGTCT